TTTTCCTCTTTTTCTGCTTTCTCCACGATTCTTTTTATCTAACTGTTTATTTTATTTCTCTCCCTTTTTGAAAAAAAAAAAAAAAAAAAAAAAAAATGGGTTGAGAGGTGTCTGAAATCACTCTGGACGTCTCCTCTGGTTGATTGGATGTTGTAGTTAACTGCCCTTGTTTTTTTTTTTTTTTTTATGGTTTTCTTTCCCCCACCCCCTACACACACACACACACACACTTGTCTCTACCCGTACGCACCAAGCAATACACGGGCTGCACTCACAGCCACAACTGTTGCAGGGATAAGAGGAGTGAACTGAAGAGTTATAGGAGTAAGAAAGAGAAGAAGGGGGAGGACTGTGCTATTATTTAGTAACTCGACGAAGATATATATAATATAATATATATATAATATAATATAATATATATACATGCTTGAAGAGGCAACCCCGCGCGCGCAGCTCCATATTCAGCGTATTTTAGGCGAATTTAGAGAGCCTCCCAATGGGAGCACTGGAACGATAGCACCAACAACGTTGCGAAGCCCCCCAATTCGTCACGTCTTGCCAGCAAGCTGTCCAAATTTTATGGGGTCATCAACCGGTTCTTCCGCTCAACGTGTTGATTCACGTGACCGTCACCTCGCGGGGAATTCGATTCCACACAGAAGCAGCAACAGCAGCGTTAGAGCGGCACAAGTGAAAGGAAATGGGCCGTCGCCAGGTCGCAAAATCGCGGCCGCGCCCACCCGTGTGAAGTCTACACGCTCTTTACTTGATCCGTCGGAGGTTTCTTTGGAGTCCGATCTCCCGCGTCCTGAGACACAAATGCAGGGTGTGTCTCAGAAGATACAGCGGCTTGCCGGTGTTCCGGAAGGAAGTTCTTTATTGGTGCATGAAGTTGGTTTAAATGGAATGATGGGAGAAGATGCCGTGACGGGTACAAATTCCATAAACTCTGCAACGTCTATAAAATGTTGCATTCGACAACTAGAGGATGATGAGACGTTTTACCGACGATTCATTTGCAACACAGCTGATGCCTGCATAGAGATGCTGCGGCGGGTCATTTGCTACGGGGAAGAGGCTGTTAAGCAATTAAGAGAGGTGACAGACATGGTGGTGGGGGTTTCTAGGTTTGTAAACATATCAGCCGAAGAGGTTCTTCAAACTCCTGAAGAACACTTAAGCCGTGCCTTCAACCCCGGGTTGAAGGGACCTCTCATGGATGTCAAGGGGGCACTGGATAAGTTGCAGCAAATGCCAGCCATCCTGGTGGCCAATTACGATCAATTAGTGTCCAAAAACCCCGGAGTATGTGAGACGCAAGATTCAGCACGCATCTTTTCCTCACCTCAGCTCAATTTACAAAAGACACCGCAAACACCACAACAACAAATTTTGTCTCCACGCGACGCAAATTTTTATGTTCGACGACCGTCTTCTCTTTTTTCGCGTTGCGGAAGCCTGCAAGCGATGAGTTCTCGATCGCATCAACCGATTATTGGGATTACGAATCCTCATGCGGGGTTTTTGGTGGGTGAAAGTCTTGAGAGTGAGGAAGTACCGTTCAGCACAACAACTGGAGCAAACATGGTGCATTCACAGAGAGAGCGTGATGCGGACCCCTTGTGGGCGATGGAGGATTTACGGGAAGAGAATGTGTATTGGCAGGAAGAGGCTCTGCGTGCGGTGTTAGAGGCAGAGAAATACTCGCAGATGCTGCACACGGTAGTTGGGTTCCCTCCTTCAAGCCCTTTCAATGGGAATAGTGAATTGGGATCCAGAAGAATTTCCATCACAGCAATGGGGTCACCCACCCAGATGATTGTTGTGCAGCGCCTTTTCATAAGATTACTTGAGGAAAAGGAGGAGGGAGACCGGAGTAGAATACAGTCATGGGAAGCGCAAGAGTGGTGGGGGCTTTGGTTCTCTGCACGAAATGCCGTCAAAAAACACCACTAGAAGCGGGAGCAGTTGGGTGCACATGATTTTCTTTTTGGGTTTTTTTCTTGTGTTTTCTCAAATAAATTTGATGTTCCACATTGCGGCAAAACGTGCCCCTCAGACCTCATGGTGTTACAACTGTGCTCTAGTAAGACGCGGCTGGCCCGGGCGCTGATCGATGACGTCAGGCCTGTGCCAAAACACACAGCAATTTCGTGGGGAAACATTGCTGGCTCCTGGACTCCCCTGACAATACGGGGGTAATTGACCCTGGCAACACGGTGAGGTAGTCAATCATGAAATTGCCAGGGGTGTCGCAAATGAGTTACATCATAATGACAGGAGACGTTCTTCTGGGGATGCGAGTTATGCCACGTGCGTCGTGCAAGAAGTCTGCCCCGGAGAATATGAAGGGTCCCTCTCTGTTACATGAGTGGAAAAAGCGCACATACGCAGCAGCTCTGACAGGCATGGCGACCATCATGAAAAGAAGAAGCGTTTCGGAATGAATGAAATGGACGACTCCTGTGGGAAGTTTTGCAGAATCCACAACCGGGAAATAAACATGTATTGTGGAGCTGGAGACAGAAAAGGCCTTTTTCTTCGCACCACGCATGAAATGGCAATTGCTGATGATGGGATGATGTAGTATTTTAATACGCAATTACGCATGCGTCTAAAACTCTGTTCTCCCTTTTCTTTTTTTTTCTTTTTTTTTTTTTTTTTCTTTCTCTCTGTCTTCCTTTTTGTCACTATCCCTTTTTCTTTTTGAGAAATGCATTTAATTGCTTTTATTGTATATAATCTTTTTGGCGCCGCGGGTGCGGATTTTTTTGTGGTTGATGTGGTTTTTGCTCATTTGCCTCTTCAACCACGCCTATTCATTGGCTATGATTTGTAATGGGCACAAAAGGGAAGTAAATGACAAGAGAATGTTTTTTTTTTTTGTAGTTGTCGTTTTTCATTTTGCGAGAGTTGCTGTTTTTTTTTTTTTTTTGTTGTTTTTTGAGGGACTGAGCGTTTGGAGACGGAAAATAAAGGAGGTTGACGCGCATGTCATTATAGCAGCGAAAGGAAAAGGAAAGAAAACACACACAAAAAAAAAAAAAACGGCGGAAACTGGAGTTGCAGAGCGGGACTCCCAAGAAGAGGTTTCAAAACATGCGAGCCGGTGGAGGAATTGAAACGTGACTGTCGTTTTTTTTTTTTTTTTTTTGCGTGTGGCTTGCGGTCTGGCCAACTGTGCACTGGTGTGTGTTTTGCGGCGCCGTTGTCACAGTGACGAGGAGTTTTATCTTCCATTTGAAGAAATTTAATAAAAACAAAAAGGAAAACAAATAAAACAGCACCTGGGATTTGTTGAAGGACTGGGGGAAGAGGGAGTAAACATTGCCGCTGCCTCCGCCAATAATTGTATTATGGGCATGCGCAAATGTGGGAGAAAAACTTTTTTTACATGACCTCCCACCGCCTGATGTAATTTTTGTATCTTTTTTTTTATTTTGATTTCCCCCCCTTTCAAAGAGCCCTCGTTTTTGTTGTCTTTTTTCTGTGGGGGAATTTTTATGCGTCATCACCATCATCATGTACACAGAAGAATGTTCAATATATTTTTCCTTCCTGTTTGCTCGCTGTGTGGTATATATTATTGTGAAGATGTGCACAATTTTTTTTTTTTGTCTTGTTTTGCTGAGAGTTTCTTTTTTTTTTTTTTTTTTTTTTTTTCCTTCCTGTTGCTGTTGTTGTTGTTGATGATGATGACTCATAATCTTTTGAGTCTTGTGTTTTTTATTGGGGCGTGTTTCAGTTCCCTTCTGTTCTATTGTCTCTGCGTATGCCTCGATAATTATAGTTGTATGCCGAGTGAATTTAATGCGTTGCTTCGGGCAGACCCTTTTTTTTTTTTTTTTTTTTTTTTGGCCTTCCCTCTTCTCGCCCTCTTTTCCACATGTCTGTGAGTTCTTTTTTTTTTCTCTCTTTCTCTTTTTTTGTTTTGTTTTGTTTTGTTTTCTGCTTTTGTATTCCTCCGCAATGAAACGGAATTGTGGGAAGAAGTGTGATCGAACCTCGTTTATTTTTCTTCGGGAGCGCCTTACAAATGCAGATTGTGATGAGCGACGAAAAGAAAAGCGCCACAACAGCGGCTTGGGCAGCGCCGTTGCTCTGCTTCCTCTTCATGATTTTGTCCATTGGGACTGTCGCGGCAGCACAAGAGGGGAGCCACGAACTCGCACAAATTGTTTTTGTCAGCTGCAACCAACACGACCGGGATCAGAACTACTGGGACGTGATTGCGGCCACCGTCGAGCACGGAAAAGACGCTGGGCAGCTGAATAAGCCACTGAAGCGTGCTACAGGCAGTTGTGCGGCGAATTCCTCCGTGGATGCACTCGTTTGGCTTGGCGATGCGGTGTACGCGGACAATTTTAGTGCCTTTAGGGGTTGCTATCCGAACACCGATTTGGAGTTGGTCCGTTCAAAGTTTACAAAACAACGAAACGCCCCGGAATATGTCGCCTTTCGCCAGACATGTGTGCGCCAGCGCCCAACCTTGGCTTTCCGTGAGGACGGAGAAGAAACGCAATTTGTCATGGGTGTCTGGGACGACCATGACATGGGCAAGAACGACGGTGGGGCAGAATACGCTGACAAGGACGCCACGCAGCAGTTTTTTTTGGATTTCCTAGGTGTTGCGAAGAACAGCCCGCGCAGAAAGCAAAAGGGTGTATACGTTTTTGAAACCATTCCATTTCGGGCGTTGGATTCAAATGCCAGCGTCAATCCCGCGAAATCCGCCGCAATAAAAGAGTTGCATAGCTTATATGATCATGCTGTGTGCTTTCTTCTTTTGGACGCACGCTACTTTCGTGAACCCTCAAATGCCACTCGTAGTGGTGATATGTTGGGTGAAGTGCAGTGGAAATGGCTTGAGGAGCGTCTCCGCAATGACGTGGCGGGGCAGAACCCAGTCAGCGGCCGGGAACGATGTGCACTGACAATCGTGGGGAGCGGAGTGCAGGTGATTATGGACGAGAAGGTGAGCGAAAGCTGGGGTGCATTTCCGCTCTCGCGAAACCGCCTTTTTTTGCTGCTCCGCCGATATAAGAGCGAACGAGTGATTTTTATTAGCGGCGATGTGCACCTCGGTGAGATTGGCATGGACACCACACAGGACGCCATGGAGGCGCTCGGGTACCCCATTCTTGAGGCGACGAGCTCCGGACTGACGCACAGTTCCGCTACATTTTGGGGTTTGCCTACTTTAATGAGGACATTATTTCCCAGTCCACGCCGCGTGGGTATTTACATTGAAAGAAATTTCGGTGTCGTGCGTTTGACGGCAGACCCCGAGGCTCTTATCATGGCCTTAAAACGCGACGGCAAGGCACAGAGGCACCAATTTGAGAGGTACATAAACGTCTCCGTCTTTATTCACAGCATTCCGCAACAAGGAAAGGCCGTTCTGCAGCTGTCGTTGCCATTAGATGTGTTTACAATCGATGGAGGAGGCGGTACGAAGGGCCGCTTCACTACGTTGACTTCTGCGGTGAAACGGACATGTGAGAACCCATCCAAAGAAAATACAGAAAATGGAGATTGCTCACCTGCGTATTACCCACGTTCTGCTCCGTTACCTGTTTTTACTTCTTTGATTCAATTTCTCCAACGCCACATATGGCCCCAGCACACACTTTTGCAGGTTGTTTCCACCGTTGTAAGTACATCGGTATTGCTCCTGTTAGCAGCTACGGCCGTGTTTTGTATACGACTGTGGAATACCGGCTCAAAGGGGAAAAAAAGAGAAAAAATTAGCTGATTTTTTGCACATTCTTTCATTTGCTTTTATTTTGGTTTTCTTGAGGTGATTTTTTATGGAAGTGTGAAGATGTCAGGAAAAGAAACGACAAGCAATATATATATATATATATATATATATATATATATATATATATATTAGATGTATGTGGTAACCTGATTTTTTCCCCCCCTACACAAATATAATGCTTCTTTGATGGAATTTAATCATCTTTCCATGTTTGTTTGTTTTTCTTTTTTTGTGTGTGTGGATCCCACCTCCCTTTGTAAGCGTCAAAGAAGTAAAGGGAAGCACTGACTATGAACTTAAAGTATCCACGTTTCCGTATCTCAGTTGATCGGGGAGGAACCTTTACAGATGTCGTGGGGGACGTCACGTTTGAGGATGGAACAACGCATTGGAAGACACTCAAGCTGTTGTCGTGTGATCCGCAGCACTACCCTGACGCTCCAAGTGAAGGTATTCGACGCATTATGCGTTGCTATATCCCTGATGTGGTGCCTGCTAGAGGTTTGATAGAAAACGAATACCTGGACGAGGTCCGCATGGGAACCACAGTCGCCACGAATGCGCTTCTGGAGCACAATGGGGAGCGGTCTGTGATGGTTTTAACAGAGGGTTTTGCCGACATTTTGGATATTCGCGATCAGGCCCGTCCTTCCATCTTTGCTCTGCACATTAAGAAGAATCCTGTTCTTGCGGAATGCACCGTGGAGGCCAAGGAGCGTGTACGCATAATTTCATTAAAAGAAGCAAGATCCACAATACCGTGGCCCAAGGAATGGATTAAATGCGGGGAGAGCTACATTGCAGATGTCGTGCGGCCCCTGGAGAAGGATGACCTGCGACAAAAGCTTCAGAAAGCATATAATGACGGGATTCGAAGTGTTGGAGTGTCACTGCTGCACTCTTATGCATACAGTAAGCATGAAGAAGAGGTTAAAGAGATTGCAAAGGGAATTGGATTTACAAATATTAGTCTCTCCTCCGAGCTGATGGCACTCATGAAGTACGTTCCGCGGTCTACGACGGCTTCTGTGGATGCATATCTTACTCCATTGATATTTAATTATATCAGGAGCTTTCGAGCCAATTTTAAGCATAATATGCTAGGGACACGGCTATATTTTATGCAAAGTGACGGCGGTCTCACGAGTGCGGATGATTTCTTTGGGTTCCGATCGGTTCTCAGTGGTCCAGCAGGTGGTGTCATGGGGTGTGCACGATGCGCCGTGCAGGATCTTGGGGAGCATGTGCAGGTCGTTGGGATTGACATGGGTGGCACCAGCACCGACGTCTCTCGCTGTGACGGGGAAAGTGTCAGTCACATTGTGGAGTCTGAGATCTCCGGGATCCAATTGCATGCCCCGCAGGTAAGAGTGCATACAGTTGCGGCAGGTGGTGGCTCCTTGTTGAAATGGGAAAATGGCATCTTTTGTGTGGGTCCTGGGTCGGCTGGCTCTCACCCAGGCCCGGCGTGCTACGGAAAGGGTGGCCCTCTTACCGTGACAGATGCCAATTTGGTGCTGGGACACCTCAATACGGAGTTTTTTCCCCGCGTGTTTGGTCTCCATGCGGATGAGCCGCTACATGTAAATGCCGCAAAGGCGCTGTTTGAAACCCTCACTGAAAAAATAGCCAATGACACGGGAAAGCCATGGACAGTTGAGGAAGTGGCCCACGCTTTTGTTGTTGTCGCGAACGAGACGATGTGTCGACCCATTCGAAACATTACCGAAGCGAATGGATACTCCTGTCCAAGCCACACGTTGGCGGTCTTTGGTGGCGCAGGTGGACAACACGCCTGTGCTATCGCCAGGAGCTTGGGTATGGCACGAATTTATTTTCATCCGCTGGCCTCCTTGTTGAGTGCCGTGGGAGTAAGTATGACAGACATAGTACAGGAACGCATCAGCAGTTCTCAGATTTACATTAATCAGAAGAACGCAGAGGCTGCCATTCAGGAACAGTTTAGGTCTATAGCAACATCTGCCAAAGAAGAACTTCAACGGTTAGGGTTTGATGACGATCACATTGTCCTTGAGCATTACCTCAGCATGCGGTATGAGGGCACTTCCACCAGCATTATGGTGCTGTTAGATGGTACATTTGAGGATCAGACTGTGGAAAGTGGGGAGAGCGATGGTGCTGGAAATTTGATGCACCGAGTTAAAGCGAATTTTACCCATTGTTACGAGCAGCAATTTGGGTTTCTCCTAATGAAGCGAGAAATCATGGTTGATGCTGTTCGCGTCCGAGGGCGAGGCGTGCAGATAGGGAAAGAGGCCCGTGCTCGCATAGCACAACAAAAACAAAATTCAGCGGTACATCAGCCGCCATATTCGACTCGGGTAAAACTCGCGCCAAGGCCGATATCGACGATGAAAACATATCTCTCAAATGGATGGGAAACGGTGAATGTCTACATTGTCAATGCAGATAATGGTCCAGTTGAAGGGCCTGCCGTGCTTGTCGGGAAAGGCACCAGCATTCTGTTGGAATCCAATTCTATAGCGTACACCAATGACAGCGGTTCTCTTATCATTCACACATCGCAACTCATTGAAAAGATCTCCACTGCATTGCATCCGCTCCACCTTTCTATTTTTTCTCACCGATTTATGTCCATTGCGGAACAGATGGGAAATGCCCTGCAACGCACGAGCATCTCAACAAACATTAAGGAGCGTCTGGACTTTAGCTGTGCGATTTTTGACAAAAATGGAAATTTGGTGGCAAATGCTCCGCATATTCCTGTTCACCTTGGAGCTATGGGTGCGGCGATAAGATGGCAGCGTGAATATTATGGAGATCAATGGCGGGAGGGGGAAATGCTGCTTAGTAATCATCCTGCATGTGGTGGTAGTCATTTGCCCGATATTACAGTTATGTCTCCCTTTTTCTTTAGGGGAGAAGTTATTTTCTATGTTGCTTCTCGAGGACACCATGCTGATGTGGGAGGAACGACACCTGGATCCATGCCACCATTTTCAAAGACTTTACAAGAGGAGGGTGCAGCCATAAAAACCGTGAAACTTATCGAAGATGGCATATTTCAAGAAGAACGTATTCGAGAATTACTCTTGAAGCCCGGAAAATGCACAAGAATGTCGGGTTGCCGTACCTTGGAAGACAGCATTTCTGACTTGCACGCACAGGTAGCTGCGAATAAGCGAGGTATGCAACTGTTAAAAGAACTGATGGAAACTTATGGATATGAGGTTGTTCAAGCATACATGGGTTACATACAGGACCTTGCTGAAGCTTCTGCCCGAGACGCTCTCAAGCGGGTAGCAAAGTTTTATGGCACAACTCTCCCTTCTGTGGATTACATGGATGACGGTTCAGAGATTCGTCTGAAAATTGAAATTGACCCTGAAACGGGGTCATCTTGCTTTGACTTTACTGGGACGAGCAGCCAAGTTCTGAATTCTACGAATTGTCCTACGGCGGTCGTTTATTCGGCTATCATCTACTGCATTCGATGTATTGTTGACGCGGATATTCCGCTTAATCAAGGTTGTATGAGACCGATAAGGGTTGTGCTCGAACGAGGCTCTATTCTTTCTCCTGACGATGAACTTCCGGTGGTTGCAGGGAACGTGTTGACCAGTCAGCGGGTAACAGATGTCATCTTTACGGCTCTACGTGCGGTAGCATGCAGTCATGGCTGTATGAACAACTTCACTATGGGGTCCTCCGACGTTGCTTACTATGAGACCATATGCGGTGGAAGTGGTGCAGGTGATGGGTTTAATGGAGCTTCTGCAGTGCATACACATATGACAAACACACGAATGACTGACCCAGAGATACTTGAAACACGCTATCCTGTAATTCTGCGCTTTTTTCGAATTCGTCGGGGATCTGGTGGAAAAGGGAAATACAAGGGTGGCGATGGTGTGGTGCGCAGCTTCTTATTCTTGCAGGATCTGACCGCCGTTCTGCTTACTGAGCGACGCGTGTTGGAGCCGAAGGGATTATTTGGTGGTGGCAATGGCATGAAAGGATTGAATATGGTGTACGTCCCTAATGAGGACACGGCTGCACGTTGGTCGGTTTCACCACAAGAGATGCTTCACGACGTGAGGCGAGGAGAATGGACGCGGGAGGAGGAAACACGCTCTTCTGATGGCTGCGCCGTCTACCGCGCAAGAAATGCGGGCGGGAAGAATGTTCTTGCGGTAAGGTGTGGTGACATACTCACCATCCATACAGGCGGTGGTGGCGGGTGCTATCCAGAAGAGGCGAAACAAGAGAATAAGCGAGGTACGATTCATGACTATGGTGTGTGAGTGGGAGTAAGAATGAAAAAGAAGCAAGGCTGCGCCAGGTGGAGCGTGATGATACCTGTGCTCCTTCATCCTCAGTCATAAATTTCAAGCCGCTCTATTTTTTTATGTTCTTTTGTTGCTGCCTTTTTTTTTTTTTTTTTTGTACCAGTCATCCCGCCCACCCAACAACTATTGCCCTCCACGCCGAGGGGGAGCCCGGCGGCTGCAGGGCAGTTCAATGCTGCTGCTTTGTGAGTTTGCAATGGGTTTGGGGACCATACATGTGCCGTTCGAATCCATTGGGCTACTGCGGTGCGTGGGTGTGGCTGTTGGAAAATTCTCGTCCGAATCGGGATTTCGGTCGCACTGAAACGACTTTTTGCCTCCCGCTGTTGTGTCGTCTCGCTTTGTAAAAGGTGGGACGAGGCCTTGTCCAGACGCACATTTTCCCTCTATTTACCTTGATGATGCTTTTGAGACAAAAAAAAAAGATTTTCATTATTCCTCTCTCTGTATTTATATATACAAATATACGTTAACGTCGAAGACAGGGGTAACCCGAAAAGTGGATGAGATTTGAGAGCGTTCTTTTATATTTTTATTCTTAACAACGCGTATAGCTTTACAATAAGTACAGTTGGCAATTATCGATGGAATCCCGTGGCGGGTTAAAACTTTACTCCTCGGTCAGCGTTGATTTTGCCTCTATCTTTCCCCCCCCCTCCCTGCTCTTTAGCTTCCTCTCTATCAAAGAATACGGGACCCTGGCAACCGGTTGAGGCGGCCGGCTGCGCCATTAGTTCTTGGGATTCTTATTTTTGGCCGTTGTTTTATTTTTGTTGTTTCTCTTGGTTTGCTTGCATTTTTCTTTTATTTCCCCGACGGAGGTGAAGCCATTCCGCTCTATTAAAGCCCACTGGCACGGTAAAGTGCTTGTTGTCTGTGCCCCTCAATTGGGCAGGCCGCATTTATTTTATTTGATTTTTTCTCTTTTTTCTCTTTTTTTTTTTTTTTAAGCAACCGAAGCGTCGAATAGAAATCTCTGGAGCCATGCAAGACGTGGCAGCGGAGGGCGTGGAGGAAAACGCGACGGCGCGAACGACACTTCTCCGGGACAACACTTCACGGTCTGTGGTGACACGCATACCCCGAAAGGGCACGCTTATTTCACTCGCGCCGATGCAGAAGCGGCTGGTCATCTCTGGAGCTCGGGTGGGAGTCACCATTGCAGATGGTCTATTTCTTTCGAGTACAGTAGCCAACCCGCTGTTGACGGTCGCCTTCATCGCGTACGAATCCTTTCGTGCTGTCAACGACTATCGGCGAGGGGAACTCAACACGCTGGGCTACCGGACAAGTCTGACAGATGTGGCACTCCGCGTCGGGAAAGAGGTGGGAACGGCTGCCGTTGGAATTGCTATTGGGAATGGTGTGGGAACACTCATAGGTTTAAGTGCTATTCCAGTAGGGGGGCAGATTATCACCGCCACGGTGCTCTCTGTGACCCTGGGTCTTTGTGTCGGCACACTTATTACGCGTTATGCCGATCGTGTTTTTGTTCGTCTACAATTGCAAGCTCAGTATGGATATTCACCGAATGAGCAGAAATCTCGAAGGCGATTTGAACAGTTACTTGAGGCACAGCACGATCTTTCATCTTTTGAAACATGTCGGATTGTCCAGCACTACCGAGATTACAGAGTGGCATGTGGTTGGGAAAGTCATACCGATGTCGACGACTACCGTGCTTCAGCTGATATAAATATGATGCCCGTTTCATTCCAACATTTTGCCATTGTTCAGTTGCAGCGTAAGTGGGGATTTCTCAATGAATATGATGAGTGCAGGAAAGTATTTAAGGCGCTAATGTTGTTACACCACCCAGACAAGGGTGGGGATGGCGAGCTTGTGGCACAGTTAAACCACGATTATGAAATTTATGCGTTTTGTCAGGGATGGCAAGGAGGTTCTTTGGGCATTTATCAAAGAGAAGGGGCCGCAGAGCCGCCAAATACATCCGTTGGAATTAGAAAAGGGAAAAGAAATGTCATTGTAAACTTTCTGCGCTCGCTATTTCGTCCTGCAAGTAACTCCGCTTTGGAGGCTGAAGATCTCCGGCAATGTGGACTTTTAGCATTGGAAGCGGGGACCCCGACGGAGCTGCACAGGTTTGACGAGGTTGACTGGGAGGCCATGGACAAGGAAGAATTGGGAATATGTGAGCGACCCGTTTTTGGTACGAGCGCCTCCGTAAAACAACGGAGTGTTTCTCGCGTGTTGGCCTCTATTCATCGTTGCTATCAACTTGCCACGGAGGCGATTACATTTGCTGGCCTGGTTAGACTGTATAAAGAGGAAAAGGAGTGGTCAGAGCTTGAACGAGATATATTTCTATTTAACCGACTACAGGCATTTGTCACGGTGACCAAGGATGACATTCAAGTCGAGAGTGGCGACCCGGGTTCATCCAAAGAACACGTTTGCTGTGGAATTACGTGGCGCACGAGGGCGGAAGCAGTTTTAAGGCGCGAGGAGCGAAGGGAAGCGATTGTGTCCCGCTGCTTTCCCCCATGCGTCTCTTCCGAGTTATTGGGGACGCTTGAATTGTGGAAAACGGCCCAAAGTCTGGCGGAGAGTTTCTTCAAACAGAGTAACGGTGCTGCTGGTGGCGGTGGCAACAGCTATAACAACAAAAGCAACGCCAACAACGGGACTGCTGGTGATATACCGATTTCTGACGGCACAGGGCAAACACTCGATACTCTGTTAAACATTCAGAGAGCCTTGCAGGATCTGATGGAAAATAGCACGCAGTCTTGGAAGGATACCGATGCCACCGCTGACGAATCACTCAATCCTTCTTTTATTGAAGAAGTGCAGGCACTCGGACGCACAGCAAGCTGCGCCTTGGCTGGGGCGCACGCCAGAAGCGTAGAGGATACACTGTGGAAAACATGTGAGGAGTTTTTCAAAGGACGTCAGAGAAAGCTGGAGAGTGTCACGTCTTTGTTAAATGAAATACATGATGTGCAATCGTCCCTCAAGAATGCCCCTGTGGAGGAACAAAAAATTCTCCAGAGCCGGCTTGACGATTACATGAAGCAGCTTTTTCTTATACATTATCTCTTTGGGGAGTTGGATGCTGCCACAGTGGAGTTACACGACATATACACCATGCACTTTCCCGAAAAATCGGACAATCTTAAAAAACTGCCCTCATCATGTGCGAAATCGATCCATGAGGAGTTTCATATGGCTCGATATGTGAAATACGAGCGAGAACGAACACTTATGAATTATATAAATATTGAGGTTGAACCACGGAATGCGATGGACCCTTCTTGCCCACCTGCAGACAAAAAAGTCTCTTTGGACTCTGAGAGTGGAGTTGCTGATGTCGAATTTGCTTTACTTCGCGCGCAGTATGTAGACACCATCACGGGCACAGTTACTCCGTGTTGGCTTAAGCGTTATGTCTTTCCAAAAGCGGAGGGGCTAGAAGCGCAACGAAGCGCTGAATTTTTATTTAAAAGTATTATGGAGCGTGAGCTCCGTATTCCAGAATTTTGTGCTACCCATCGTGTGACATGCATCACCGATGTTTTTTCAGATGATTATACACGTCAAATATATTTTCATATTCCGCGAGGGGGAACCCAATTGCGATTTGGTTCAACACATGATGTCCCGAAACGAATTAAGCGAATTGGAGTTCGCTGGTTGCATGATGCGTTGCAGTGTGTCATTGAAATCCACTCCTGCCAGTTGGTGCATGGTGCTATATCCCTGTCAAATTTTACGTATGATGACTTTGGAAATACAACCTTGGGTTTTTTTTCAGATGCGCTTCGTCATCGCGTGCGAGGTGCCGCATCCTTGTTGGACGACACCATTGATTTTGGCGCTTTACTGCATGCGGAAGTGCTTCCATACCTTCTTCGTGCATCACCAGCTGTTTCTCCCGTCCGGAATCCTTCTGTGGCGAGTGGGCGGGAGGAGCGCCTCCCAACGGATACACGATGCATGGATGTTGCCAACGTATATCGAGAGGTTGCGGATCGGTTGATTGGAAAAGTAGAGCCGCGTTGGACGTTAATCGACGCGCGAACCTTTGTTCGGCGATTCCTTGAATTCAACTACAATAGCGATGAACGCAATTATTTGTTTACGAAAGAAGTATCTTACCCAGCACATTGGGCAACTCCCAAAACCATTGTCCCTGTCTCGCTTGTTGTGGACCGCCGCGTTTTTTTGCATTTGCCGACGAACGCCACCGTGTTTCTAAACCGTAATTTACATCTTTGGGATGTTTATTGGAAGTGTCGCCGAAAAATGGTACAAAAGCGCGGCGGCGGATTTTTTTCAATGCCCGCATCACTTAAAAGGCACGCACCCTTCCACCCCTGCAGTGACGATTGTGAAGTCAACGAACGGCTCCTTTGGCACACCTGCCATGACGAGGAGGAGGCGTGGCGAATTTGTCTCGAAGGTCTCCCGTGCAAAAGGCACCGGCTGCGCCTCGCACCGCCATGGCTTGAGTCGGGGGAAGACGGCAAATATTACCCCCGTCGCCACGCCGCCACCCCCGATTGGGGCGTGATTTTCCGCGTGTCACTTGGAACGGTTGTGGAGCATGAGCGGGGAACAGTTTCGGAGCTTCCAAAGAAAAGAGTTGACCTTTCCCAGCGCGCTCGTCCTCCCGCGTGTAATCTCGAGCGTTCCGCGGAGGAGCGCTGTGTGCTTCTAACTGGCTCGAATGATCCGAACGACCCTCGGAAGTGGAAAATTGAGGTGCCCGCGTCCTCGGCGCGCTGTTATCCTGAGTTTATGGTTTGTTGCGTGGGGATTTGAGTTGGAGGAAAAGACACGAGAAAAGTGAGCGTATCGGGAAATGCAAAAGGTGAACGAATTGAGAGCCAGGGAGCGGCGCCGTTTCCGACGAACCGTGGAAGCCGACGCCGCCGAGAGCGCTGAAAATACTTTTTCTCCCTCCCTGCGCACCGCTCTGTGTGAGTTGCCTT